CTGCAGCGCCTTTTTTGGTTCAACGAGGAAAAGCGTGACCGCTTAGGCCGCTTAGAGTTGTACTGTTTAACTTGGAGGTAGTCGATGATGATCTCCAGCGTCTTGAGCACCAGGGCATCTCCGAGAGGCAGGTTGCGGGGACGCTTCTTCAGGGCAATGCTGAACTCGGTGCAGCAGGGCGAGGCCCAGATCATGTCGAAATACCCGGACTCGAAGGCCTTGTAGTCCCAGTGCAGGATGTCGGAGCAGATGGTTGGGTCGGCTTTGGGGTTGCTGTCAAGACTCGTTACCTCCCAGCCACGGGCCTCGAAGGCACGTCCGATCGACCCCGTGCCGCTGAACAACTCCAGGAGTCTCATTTGTTGAAGGAAAAGAAAAGGCCCACAGGACCAGCAAGCATGCCAGCAGGGCCAGATTGACCCCCACGCACTCCGCGGTGGAGATGCGTTCGGGCCGGCATTTTTTTTCTCTTGTCGAACAAAAAAGGGAGCGATGGAACCGAAATCGTCACTCAAGCTCGGAGAGCTTACGACCAACCAGCGCGGCGGCAAGGTCTTCCCTGCAAGTGCTCAGGCCTGGCAATTTCAGGAATGGACGCGAATACTCTGGCACCCTAGCCCCTATGGGAGCGAGGAGGCCCGACGCATCTCTCTTTGCCTCGAGCCAAACGAGGCCGCGGTGGCGGACCTGAAGGCACTGGAGGAGGATGTCAAGAGACAACTGACGCGGCGGAGCCTTGATGACGCGAAGATCTTCGGCCGACACCTTGCCGCGTCAGATGTGGAAGCCCGCTTCGTCTCCTGCTTGAAGACGTCGGCGCGCGGAAACAGCTTCATCAAGTTAAAGGTCGACCTGTCCCGAGTCAACTTCTGGGATGCAGAGCAGCAGCCCCTGGAGGAACCCGGCAACTTGGCCGGCCGGGAGTGCAAGCTGCGCGCCGAGCTGAAGCAGGTTTGGCTGATGAGCGGACAGTGCGGCTTGCTCGTCGAAGTGACCGATCTCATGCTAAAGGAAGAGCTGCCCCGGCAGTGCCCCTTCTGACCGGAGCGGCGCCCGAGATTTATATAAATTTCTAAATGGCTCTTTTGGGTCCAACTTGCAGACAATCGGGCATTTAGTCCCATTTAGTTTTTTTGAACCCCTAAATGCCTCTGAATGGGGCGATTTTTCGAACAGCACGGCCCAAAACTATCCATTTAGAGCCATTTAGAGATTCTAAAAAAAAGCTAAATGCCCCAGAGGTCGCTAAATAAGGTGAAATTCGAGCACATAGAGCCATTTGGAAACTTATATAAATCAGGCCCGCGTTCAGAGGCCGAACTTTGTTTTGGGGGACTGCTAGAAATCATGTCGTGGATGCA